AAGAAAGAAAGAAAGAAAGAAAGAAAGAAAGAAAGAAAGAAAGAAAGGACACAGCACAACCCTACCCTTTGTTTTCTGGCATGATTCCGTCTCTTGAAAAACAAAATCAGCTTCTTTCTCATCACTTGGTTCCTAAAAAGAGAGAGAAAGAGGCGGGGGGGAGACGCACATTAGAGCCGAGAGACAAGCTGTCCTCCCCGTCTGGGACGTAATTTCACACCCAAAATTTTCCTCCTTCGCTCACAAAGGGGGACAGCATTTTGGTTCGTGTCCTTTGTGGGGGGAGGACTAGGGGGATGGGAAAAATAAATGCAGGTTGTGTTGATAAAAAGTGTTCAGGAAGTTTGTGGGTGCGTGGAAGGAGTCACACCCAGTTCAACTCCTCCCTGCTCCCCCCAAAAACCCGACTAATAATTCCTCCATGGTTCTTTGGCATCCACCTTACAGAGAAATACACTGCTCAAAAAAATAAAGGGAACACTTAAACAACACAACGTAACTCCAAGTCAATCACACTTCTGTGAAATCAAACTGTCCACTTAGGTAGCAACACTGATTGACAATCCATTTCACCTGCTGTTGTGCAAATGGAATAGACAACAGGTGGAAAGCAGAGGCAGGTAGCAAGACACCCCCAATAAAGGAGTGGTTCTGCAGGTGGTGGCCACAGACCACTTCTCAGTTCCTATGCTTTCTGGCTGATGGTTTGGTCACTTTTGAATGCTGGCGGTGCTTTCGCTCTAGTGGTAGCATGAGACGGAGTCTACAACCCACACAAGTGGCTCAGGTAGTGCAGCTCATCCAGGATGGCACCTCAATGCGAGCTGTGGCAAGAAGGTTTGCTGTGTCTGTCAGTGTAGTGTACAGAGCATGGAGGCGCTACCAGGAGACAGGCCAGTACACCAGGAGACGTGGAGGAGGCCGTAGGAGGGCAACAACCCAGCATCAGGACCGCTACCTCCGCTTTTGTGCAAGGAGGGACAGGAGGAGCACTGCCAGAGCCCTGCAAAATGACCTCCAGCGGGCCACAAATGTGCATGTGGCTACTTAAACAGTCAGAAACAGACTCCATGAGGGTGGTATGAGGGCCCGACGTCCAGAGGTGGGGGTTGTGCTTACAGCCCAACACCGTGCAGGACGTTTGGCATTTGCCAGAGAACACCAAGATTGGCAAATTCGCCACTGGTGCCCTGTGCTCTTCACAGATGAAAGCAGGTTCACACTGAGCACATGTGACAGACGTGACAGGGTCTGGAGACGCCGTGGAGAACGTTCTGCTGCCTGCAACATCCTCCAGCATGACTGGCTTGGCAGTGGGTCAGTAATGGTGTGGGGTGGCATTTCTTTAGGGGGCCGCACAGCCCTCCATGTGCTCGCCAGAGGTAGCCTGACTGCTATTAGGTCCCGAGATGAGATCCTCAGACCCCTTGTGAGACCATATGCTGGTGCGGTTGGCCCTGGGTTCCTCCTAATGCAGGACAATGCTAGACCTCACGTGGCTGGAGTGTGTCAGCAGTTCCTGTAAGACAAAGGCATTTATGCCATGGACTGGCCCGCCCGTTCCCCAGACCTGAATCCAATTGAGCACATCTGGGACATCATGTCTCGCTCCATCCACCAACGCCACGTTGCACCACAGACTGTCCAGGAGTTGGGGGATGCTTTAGTCCAGGTGTGGGAGATCCTTCAAGAGACCATCCGTCACCTCATCAGGAGCATGCCCAGGTGTTGTAGGGAGGTCATACAGGCACATGGAGGCCACACACACTACTGAGCCTCATTTTGACTTGTTTTAAGGACATGACATCAAAGTTGGATCAGCCTGTAGTGTTTTTTTCCGCTTTAATTTTGAGTGTAACTCCACATCCAGACCTCCATGGGTTGCTAAATTTGATTTCCATTGATAATTTTGGTGTGATTTTGTTGTCAGCACATTCAACTATGTAATGAACAAAGTATTTCATAAGAATATTTCATTCACTCAGATCTAGGATGTCTTATTTTTGTGTTCCTTTTATTTTTTGAGCAGTGTAGTTCATACCCCTGAAAAGGCTATTTATTCCCCGACTTACAACCATTCGTTCCAAGTTACAATGGCACTGGAAAAAAAACAAGCCATTCACAATTGCTCCTTGCACTTACGACCGTCGTAGTATTCCCCTTGGTCAGGCAATCAAAATCCGGGCACTTGTCAACGGTGTGTGTTTACGACAATGGCAGCATCCTGGGGGTCATGGCCTCGCTTAACAACAGAAAGAGTTGCAGTTGTAAGTTGAGGACCACTGGTAATAACGATGGGCAGTCCTTGACTTACGACCGCAACGGAAGGCAAAATTTCTTGCCGTGAAGCAAGACGTTTGTGAGGTGAGTTTTGAGCCCGTTTTATGACCTTCCTTGCCACTGCTGTTAAGCGAATCATTGCAGCTGATAAAAGTTAGCCTTCCGGTTTGAGTTCCTTTGCCGACAGACCAAAACCGCGATTGTGCACGGTTTCGATCCGTGCTCGCCGCCGGAGCACCCCGAGCCGGCTGGTTTTGGGGCTAAGCCACCCCGTAGAGGTGGTGAAGAGGAGGGAGACTGCCAGCAGGGTTGAGGAGAGCCGCATCTCTCCTCCTCAGCTGGCCATTGCTCCCTTTCGCGAAGGCGGTTGCAGCCGTGGTCAGAAATGGCCACCACGAAGAAGAACTCGACCGGAAAAGAATGTGCAGGAGGAAGATAAGAAGAGAAAGTTTTGCTTGACCGGGTTAAACTGCAAAAGCAACAACGTACGGTACCCTGGAACTTAAACTATAAAAAAAAAAAAACTTTAGGGTATATATTGAAGCCTACATAAGAGTTAAATGAATAAAATTAAAAGATATAAAGGTGTCATACTCCAATTAGTAACTACAGGGGAAAATTTATTTAATGAGAAAAGATGTAGAAAATGTAAAACAGTAATAAGATATGAAATAGAACACAAAAATGAACATGAAATTGAGTCTGTGTCTGTATGAAGAAGTGATAACCCGGGAACATGCTATTTTCAAAAAAAGATGTTTTATTTGTATTATGGTGTTTCTTTTTTTGTGAAAACCCAAATAAAATTTTCAAAAAAAAAAAAAAGTTAGTCATCCGGTTGTTAAGTGAATCTGGCCTCCCCCGTGGATTTTGCTGGTCCGAAGGTCACAAAAGGGGATCATCTGACATACATCCTAGGACACTGCGACCGTCGTAAATATGAGCCAGCGGCCAATTTAAGGTCGTAGGTGTGAAAAACGGCCAAAAGTCCCTTTTTTTTCGGTGCCATTTTAACTTTTAAAAGTCGCTAAATGAACTGACGTAAGAATAAGCATAAAATAAATTCCATTTTTTTTTTAAATAAATGAGCCCTTCCCACCCCGCCTGCAAAAATCTGAAGGAAATCATATCCATATTTGCTTACGTTTTGATGTTTTCGTGGTACACTTTTGTGTCAGAAGGCTGGTTGTAAAGAGGCTGTGGGAAAAGAAGACGGGAAACTTAGCTGCGTTTAGAAACTAGGAAGTGAAAATCGAAGAGATTGAAAGCACCAGATTTCCAAAGCACAAACTTCTTGGCTGAGAAACAGTTTGGAAGTAACCAGGGCAAATAACAATGTTGTTAAGCAAGGAAACCAGGACTGCCGTTTCCAACCGGAGCAAAGGTGGTTAGGCCAGAGATCTTTGCTTCTCTTCCTGCTTTCGAAGAAAGTCCCTTCCTTAGAGGGGGATGAAAGCCAACAAGGGGGGAGGAGAGGAGGAAGAGAAAGGGGAGGGGAAGAAGAAGAGGAGGAGGAGGAGAAGTAAGAGAAGAAGAAGGGAGTGGGGGAGGAAGAGGAGGAGGAGGAGAAAGAGCAGGAGGAAGAAGAGAAGAAGAAGGAGGAGGGGGAAGACAAGGGGAGTTGGGGGGAGGAGGAGGAGGAGGAGGAGAAAAAAGAGAAGAAGGTGAAGGAAGAGGAGGAGGAGGAGAAAGAGGAGGACAAGAAGGAGGAAGAGGAGGAAGGGGACGGGGAGAGGAGAGAGGAGGAGGGAGAAGAAAGAGGAGAAGGGAGGAGGAGAAGAAGGAGGAGAAAGAGGATGAGGAGAAAGAAAGAGGAGGAGGGGAGGGAGAAGAGCAGGAGGAGAAGGAGAGAGAAGAGAAGGAGGAAGGGGTGGAGAGGAGAGGAGGAGGGAGAGGAAAAGAGGAGGAGGAGGAGAAGAGGAGAAGAGGAGGAGAGGAGGAGGAGAAGAGGAGGAGAAAGGGGAGGAGGAGGAAGGGGAGGAGGAG